GATAATTGCTCTCACTGCCTAACCCTAACCCTAACTGGCAGGGGGGCATGGTGAACACACACAGCAGAGCGAGCAGACTTTTTCAGTGGCTCGTCTTCAGCGCTGGGTATAGATTTCCTCCCTGAGAGACAGCATCAGGAACGCGGCTTTGATTCCGGTGCCGGTGGCCTGCCGTCTCTGTTAGGGCGGGGTCTCTGGCCCTTCGAGCAAAGACAGCATTGGCCGAAGCGCCGGCTCATGTTCGTGCCGAACAGCAGCAGAAGAGGCGTGCGGTCTTCCTGCGTGCTGCGCTGAGGAGGAGCAGGAATGCGCAGGAGGGTTCGCGCCGGTGCGCTTTGGCAGGAAGTGGTTAATAGCTTTCGACTGTTTCTGCACTTCAGTGAAGTGCTCCGTGAACGTCTCTACCGCTGCTCCGAAGAGACCTGAGGGATTCATGGGAGTGTCCAGAAGGGCCGTTTTTTCAGAGTCCTTTAACTCGGTCAGAGTAAGCCACAGGTGACGATCTAGCACCACAAGATTCCCCATGTTGTGGCCGATTGTTCGAGCTGTCACCTTCGTCGCTCTGAGGGCCAGATCTGTGGCGCGTTGCAGCTCTTTGAACACTTCAGGGTCCAGCTCGTCCTCATCCAGAGACTTGAGCAGCTTGGCCTGATACACCTGGAGTATCGCCATCACGTGCAGTGCTGAAGCTGCTCGGCCCGCCGTGGTGAAAGTCTTGCCGGCGAAGTTTGCAGTGGCGCGGCAAGGTTTAGAGGGGAGAGACGCGTTGTTTCTCACTCTCCAGTTCGCCGGGGCTGAAGGACAGAGATGGGCAGCGACGGCTTCTTCCATGGGGTGGATTTAAATATACCCCACTTGGTCAGCGCCGTCCACAGAAGACAGGAGGGAGGACCCTGGGTTGTGCACTCGACTGGTGAGTGGCGTGTTCCACGACTTCGTTATCTCATCATGCACCTCTGGGAAAAAGGGGCCAGGCCTCTGTGGGGTGTCCTTTCAGCCGCAATCTGACTGGAGGTATCACTCGTCCAGACGGCTTCTACAGCATCAACTGCCTTGGACAGGATGCTAAGGAGCTCGACATCACTATGATGGAGTCTGACCCCCCAAGCGCCGCCTCTGCGTGGGCGCGACCCAGGCAGAAGACGCACGACTTGTGGCTATCAGAGAGTTTGATTGGCTCTGCGCAGGAGAGGCAATCGGGAGTCATCCTTGTTTCCGAAGCTCACCGGAACACAGCAGGGGAAGAGAAGGCGTGTCCGCTGCAGCGTGTATCACTGTGAGTAGTCTTGCTGATAGGCTTCTTGCTTCTCGTAGAAGGTTGGCTGAAGAAAAAGGTTCTGAATAGATGACGTCCAAGCGCTGCTTATATAGAGTGGGAGCCCCTCATATTTCGCGCGCTTGAAAGCCATTGGCCAGTTTCACTGCCGTGATTCAATAAGGCTTCGGTAGTATTTGGAGGAAAGGGTAATTCCCATAGCAATGTAGAGTGACCGAATCGAAAGGGAACTGTTACTCCATAATTTATGGTCATACAGATAGAAGCAAGACATCATTCAGAATTGTAAAGCTTTTGCAAAATAAAGAAAACCAGTAAGATGCTGCTTTCTGCCTTCTCGGTTTCCTTTCCGTGAGCTTTGGAGTGCGACACAATAAAACAAAACTCAGCACAATTTCACTCGTTGAATGCGTCTGCAACCTGAAAAATATTAATTTCAGCAATGCATTTCGTATTTTTGTTTTGGTGTAGGTCCTTAAGACCTAATTCTCATGCAAAGTTATTTCCCAGACATCATTGTTGAGAATAAATGTTGAGAGATGTAGAAAAATCCATATGTGATGTAAAGCTTTTCAAACCAGTCATTTATGAAGTTCTATCTCTGTTAAGTTGCAGCCTATGAAGGCAATAGGCAGCGAAGCATCTCACTAGGTTTTGGAACAGATCCACTAAATGTTGCAGCTTACTAAAGTCACACAAGGTAGTCATCGTTTACTGACATCATTGCTAATACTTTTTCTAATACTTTGGGAAGTATTTGTAACCATTTGTAAATTAAATAAATAAATTAAATATTAAACTTGTAATATTGTAAATTCCAAGCATGTTTTGTGATAAATGAATACATGCCCCCAGGGGCGGCGCTAGGGGTGGGCTAAGGGGGCTGAATTTTTATATTTAAAACACTAATCTCATAACATTATTTATGCAATTTTGTATGTGCATAATATTTTGAATTTTTTATATGCATGTACAAATGCTAAAAAGTAAGTGTATAGAGCCCCGCATGTTTAATTATACATGGCTTTTTTTTTTTTAAAACATAAACACACTTAGCCAAAGTAAAGAGAAATATAAATAATTAAAATAAAATGTCAGTCTTAATTGATGCTATTTAAAAAAAAAAAAGTCTCCTCATCTCTGACAAATTGAATAACAGTATTGTGAATTGAATGTTTTAGGGTAGATCTGGTCATTTTAGAGTCACACCACCTACAGTTTTATAGAGTAATGTTCTTTTGTTAGATTTAAAGGGGTCATGAACTGAGAAATAAAAATTCCCTTGATCTTTTGATATAAAAGAGGTGTTATTGTATTATAAAAACATCCTGTTTTAGAACTCAAAACTTTCTCGTTAGTCTAAAAACATCTTGTATTGAAGCCAATCTGCCAAAATGACAGGTTGTGGAATGTGACACTTTATGACATAACTTTTCCTTGTGTGTGTAAACATACTTGGTAATAAAGCTCTTTCTGATTCTGATTTCTTATGTTGAACATAAAAGGAGATATTTTGAAGAATGCTGGTAATCAAGCAGTTGATGGTCCCTTTGACTTCCATAGTATTTCTTTCCCTACTATGGAGGTCAATGGGGACCAACAACTGTTTGGTTCGTCAAAATTCTCCAGGGTACCTTCTTTTGTGTTCAACATAAGAAAGAACAGGTTTGGAACGACATGAGGGTGAGTAAAAAAAAATGATGAAAATGATGAACAGTGTGGCTAAACACCACCTCCTCAGAAGAAGATCAATGCCTGCTCCTGCATCACTGCCTGTTTAGCCCCGGCCACCGATTCTACATCACTGCCTGTTTAGCTCCACCCACCGATTCTACATCACTGCCTGTTTAGCCCCGTCATATTTAGCATGTCATTAGCTTCGCCCAACAGGAAGTTGGCTATTCAGGTTTTTTTGAAAAACGCATGCTCTGGAATTTGCAATACTCCTATGGTTTTCATCAGATTGCAGCCAAACTCAGTCAACATATCTCAGACGGTTTAGCCGTGGCGAGGTGATACATTTATGGTGAAAAATGGGAAACAGGAAGTGTATTATAACTTTCACATACATTGTCTGATTTTGATCATACTTCAGTTTGTTCGTTGTATGAAGCCGATCACATAGATGTGACTTTAATTAGTCTGAGTGACAGCACCATCAACTGGCAGTTTTACTTTTTAAAACGTCGTCTTATATTAACCGGCAACATAAGGAGCAGAATGGGGAATTAATGACTAAATTAACTAAACACAGGTGAACTGACTAACATAATCAAGGGGAGAAAGAAACTAGGTCAAAGTACTGAAACAAGGCAGGAGAACAGAAAACACGGAAAACAAGGTTCAAACTGTGACAGTGCACCCCCCTACGACCAGGCGGGACCTCGCGCCATAACAAAACAATTAAGGAGGGACGGAGGGGACTTAGGAGAAGAACAAAGGAGTGGAGTTGGGATAGTAACAGGGGATGGCGAAGAGCCAGCAGGAAGGCAGGCAGATGACCTGGGTGGTGACGACAGAGGGAGGAGCCACAGAGGAATGATGGAGGAGCCAGGGTGGATCAGACGGAGGGAGGAGCCAGGAGCATGAGGAGCTAGGTGGGACGCAGACAGGAAGGTGACCCATGCTGTAGCAGATGGAGGGAGGAGCCATGGTGGAGGAAGGGCTGACGACTCCAGGGGGCCGACTGACAGCGGCGGAGCAGGTAGGAGAGGAGCCCAGGACGGAGACGCAGAGCCAGGGCGACGGGGAGGATCCAGAGAGCCAAGGCGGAGCAGATGGCTCAGGTGACTGAGGTGTAGACAGAGATCCTGAAGGCCGAGGAGGAGCCGCAGGGACAGAGGACCAAGGTGGAACTGGAGGGAGGGAGGAGCCCAACGGAGCCGGAGGGATGAAGGGATGAGGCGAAGCTGGAGGAGTGTAGTCCCGAGGTGAGCCCGGCGGAGCTGGTGGACTGATGGGCCATGGTGGAGATGAGGGAGCTAGGAGCCATGGTGGAGCCGCTGGGTCGACGGGTCGAGGCGGAGTCCGGGACTCAGAGGCTGGAGGTGGAGACAAGGGATCCTCCAGCCATGACGCCAATAGAGATTGGCAGAACCGCAGAAAACCACATAACAGATGGTGGGCTGAGGGTGAGCTGAGGGACTGGCCGGATGCAGCGGTAGAGGGGCAGAAGATGGCAGACGACTGATTAGAGGAGGTGGGAGAGGAAGGCTGGGTGGAAGTTCGGGATAATCAAGGGGTTCAGGGACGGTATGTGCTGCCCACACACACCAGATGGCAACTCCCTGCACCGGGAGTGCCAGAGACAGGGGAACGACCTCCATGGTCATAACAGAGCAGACGGATAGTTCAGGGCAGACAAACAGTTCATAAATGACCTCCTTGGCCATTGAGGTACTCTACATTACGATGGCGCCGCAGACAGCAGCTGCAGTGTTTGGCTCTCCAGTGTTTTCTGAAAGGATTATTGGTGCCCCCCTGCCTACCCTCCAAGAACTGTATACATCCAGAGAGAGGAAAAGGGCTCAGAACATCACTCTGGATCCATCACATCCAAGCCATCTCCTTTTTGAACTTTTGCCATCTGGTCGGCGTTACAGAGCACCGAATACCAGGACAGCCAGGCACAAGAACAGTTTCTTTCCCCAGACAATCTACCTCATGAACAGTTAATGTTCTCCCATTGAGCAATTAAAGTACAGTCTGTGCAATAACCTTATACTTATTTATCACCCTAAACCCTAGTACATCCCTACAACTTATTTTATTTTATTCTATTCCTATTCCATCTATAGCACACCTGTACATACAATTTATTCTTTTTTTTGTGGTTTATATTTATGCATGTGTATTTTATTCACATCTCACTTTTATTATCTGTGTGTTGTTGTTGTCTCAGTGTACTGGAAGTTTGTGACACTATAACAAATTCCTTGTATGTGCAAACATACTTGGCAATAAAGCTCATTCTGATTCTGATAACTGGACAGACAGAGAATTCAGTAAAAGATGGTAGAAGGAGAGGCATGTCTGCATTCAAATCCAACAAATCCACTGATTTCAGCCTCAGCTCACCCTCAGCGGTGGAACAGTTGGCGAGGCTTTCCTCCACACCCTCACACTCCACTGTGTAATCCATCGTGGTGGGCTTTTTTTTGCCGGCTCACACATCTGGTCAGACCTTAGAAGAGGCTCTGGCTCCGGGCGATCCTCAGCTCTGTCACTCCTTTTAGCGATGGCTCGTCAGTTGCGGAGGGCTCTGGCTTTCCGTCTGCGGTGGGCTCTGGCTGTTGCTCCGCATAGTGGGGTGGTGTTTGGCTGGGCTCTGGGTCCAGAGTGGGGCTGGTGAGTTCCTCATTAGCGTGGCAGACGGTGAATGGGGATCTGTTTCTCACCAGTACCCACTCCACAAAGGCGGCGAAATTCTCCCGAGGACCATCTTCGGATGACCGCGCTCTGGAAGCGGTGTTGAGTTTTTGAGAAACTGTTAAACTGAGGTAAAGTAGTGTGGTAAGGTCACATTTATTTGAATGCATGAATTATAGCATCGATTTGAATTAATTATTGAGAGAGAGAGAGAAAATGTGAATTGCTTCTGTGTGTCTCACTCTACAAACAATGAAGCTGTGCATTTAGTTACTTCAAAAACAGCAATTTTAACCTGTAGTTGCTGAGAATAATGTAGCGATTCAGTATCGAAGCTATTTTATTAATAAAAGTCATGTGGCAGCATTGACAAGTTTCTGTGGTCAACACTCTGATCTCTTTGATGAAAGCAGCACATTAATATAGAACGGTGATTAAACTGACTTGGATCAGAATCAGAATTGAGTATTCAGACAGACTATGGTATGATATCATATAATTCTTTAGAAAAACAGTAATTACTAAACCTGAACAATAAAGTTGCTTATTGTGAATTTTCGGGAAAAAACATTTGGAGCAAAGAAACATTTTAATACTATCTTCTGTGAGAAAAAAGGAAGTTGAATTAACCTTATACATAATGTTGCCTTTTCATTTTTAATTTGACTGAAATGTGTTGTTAAAGCTCTGCAAATGTCTTGATCAGGGATCGCCAGCTCTTCTTCACCCCCTTCCCTGTCCGCTTCATCTTCCAAATTTTCCAGTAGGTCAGACTCCAGAATTCCACTGCTGCACAGAAAGCTGGGTTCTGAGTTCTTATGCAGTTGTGGTGGGAACAAGAAATGGTCTGAGATCACTTCAGTGCTGAAGAGGACCAAAAAAAGAACGTTCTCTTTTGAGCCCACTATACTGTGAACACCATAAGGACTGAGGTCACTTTCAGCTTGTTCCCTTTCTGGTTCACTTTAAGTTAACTGGGTTTGGTTCTTTGAAAACGGACTATATGTGAAAACACCCTAAGAATTTCTCCTAAATCGGCAAGTTATGTGCTACTTAAGCCTTAAGTTTTTTTGTGAAGTTAGTTTAAGATGCCAGACACCTCGTCTTGAATACAGATGGGAGATGAAATCTGCAATCATCCTCTAACCTTGTTTCTCTCAGGACCACTATCGTCAAAGATGCTTGACACTTAGCATACAGTTTGGATTGGTGGAATGGTTCTGTTCTGGGCAAGAACTCCCTGCCCATCCATGCAGCCTGACATGAATGAGCAGGGAGAGCACCAATAACCCCCTTAGGGTAAACAGAATGAAACCAAATGCAGATATCATTAATGTTATTAATGACATTTTAGTGTAACAATATATTCAAGATAAAAGAATCTGATTCAACAAGGAATATCAGAGAGCCAAGTGCTGACTGTGACGAAAGGAGGAGTTGGGGATGGTGGAGGGTAATTTGCTCCTGAGCAAGCGATAAAGCTGCTGAATAATACTGAATAGACCTTACATAGGAATGCTGTGATAGGTGTCGTATTCCTATAGGTAGATGTGGATCAGCCGATGCAAGCTTTGCTCACGTGACCTGCCAGAACTAATGCTATGCTTAATTTGTTGCAGATGTACAAGCACCTGGGTGAACTCCATGCTGGCCGCACTAGCGCTCCATTATGCTGGCATAAGTAAGAACACACCGCTTTGAGTCAGAATGGAAGTCGCTTGATGTCATTGTGAAAAACGATGATGTGTATGGCGAACTCTGATGACGAATCAAAATCTTCAAATCTTACTCCCTCGACATGACAAGAAATGTGTGTGGGTGCTTCTAAATACTCTAATTGATGCTTCCTCATTTCCTCTTTCCTCCGTCCTCGAGTCTGTGACCCATAAACCGATCAAAGTTAGCCACTTTAAGTACATCTCAATTCTCTAATTGCACCATGAGGAGGTGAGGAACGAGGAGCGAGGAAGCTTCCAGGGGAGCTATGAGTGAGGAAACACAGGTTTATCTTATGCAAACGTCTTTCTTGGTGAAAAACCGGACATACTTATCAATTATTTTCCCCCTTCACATCTGTAATAATAATGTTACTTTATGTTTAACCTTTGCAGTTTAAATAACCCATACATCTCATGTTTTTCAAAAGGACATCTTGCTTTATTAACATTTATTGTGACTGTCTTAACCAAACTTTGTCAAGAGTCACTTGAAAAGTGTCACTTGTTAATGTGACAATGTACAAATAAGTTTTCCTTTGATTCCTCCATCCACATTTTCTTTCTTTGCATCCTACCCTCTCATCCCAAGAGGGGTGCACCTAAGAAAGGAAGCAAGGAAAGGAAAACGAGGATGCACAAATAAGAAATGAGAAGCGCCCTGTGTGTGGAGCGTCCAAAGATGAATCACAGCTTTGATCATAACACAGCATATCAGACTTTTATTGACCACTGTTATAAGAATTGAGACTTTTCAAATACTTTTCGAGGAATTTCCAGTACTTCACACAACTTTTTCCAGCGTTTAAAGCTCAAAAGTCTGAATAGTATCTGATTTCAAAAAATGTTTTAACATGATGACCAAAAAAAAGACATGAAATTTCCACTATAACCAGAAGATGGCAGCAGAGGAGCACTTGTTGGTTTATTAGTCATTTCCACTTCCTTACAGTTTTCTTTTCTTTTTTTTCTATTGATTTATTTTATGGTTGGCTTACTATTTATCATTTATTTGTTGTTTCTTTAGACTCATTTTAGTTTTTCATTATATAATCAAGCATAAAGAATATTTTCCTTTCTGACTATAAAGTGCAATGCTCCCTCAAATGCCTGCGTACTCCACAAGCAGTAGCTGCTCCTGACTGTAAATTTAGGTAGGGCAGATTCTGGGTCGTAGCGCTAGTTTATAATAAACTCAAGAAAGCTTATAGTCTTTATAGACTAACACATGCACACACACTTTTGGCAGAGATCTAATGTCTTTGTGTCATTCGGCCTGTGGGCGGCACGCTAAACTTGATTGACAGGCTCGAAGCACACACACACACACACACACACACAGAATGCTATAGAATTATTGCCTTAATGTCTCTGAATGTTGATTTAGAATTATACAAGTTGTAGAGTAATTTAAGTGAGGAAACTAATATCATGTATCATCTCAAAACGAACATAAAACAAACAACAGAACTATTTAAAGACTTTTCATGTGAGCACATTTAAACTACAGGATTAACACTTTCATTGATTTAAAACACTACTCCACATAGGAAACAGACATGCCAGCTACTTACTGACCTGATCCAGACACATACAGCTGAAGCTGACTGAAATTGTCTTGGTCTGGAGCAAGATAAGGTAACGTGAAAATAATGTCTCTCAATTAAAGCGTGCTGCAGTTCCACTTTTCACCACAGATTTACATTGTAAAATTTGTGGGGCGCTGTTTGGGAGGACACTGGCACAACTGCCCCACTTAGTGTAATTTTACATGCCTGCAGAAGCTTGTGATGAATTTTTGATATATATCCTGTGCACTTTATAACTTAAAATGTCAAGAAAATCAGAAAAATATTTGTCTATGTTTTGGATTAATAATTTAGTGGTGCTCGGCCCAACCTGCCCTTACGGACGAGCTGCACCTGCCCACAAGGTGATGTTATTTCAGTCTAACCGCTCATGCTGACCGAAGGCCTGCGATCAGCATGAGCTGTCCAACTTCATGATTACTATCTGCTGAAACCACACACGTTCTGCTCGTAAAATTAAAGTTTTACAAACAAATTCATTTTCTCATTTTATGGTGCAGTCTGCTGAAATGAACGGATTAAAATGTCTCTTGATTTCTTTGAACTCCCCACATTTCACACAGTTCATATGCAATTGCTTTCGTTTATCATTTATAGACTTTTTTTTTTTATTTGCTGCTTGTCAGAAAGAACAAACTCTTCAGATAAGTTGTTTACGGGGACATCCCATAGGGGTAATGGTTTTTATACTGTACAGACCGTATATTCTATTGTCCTACACCAACCCTACCCCTAAACCTACCCCTCACAGGAGACTTTCTGCTATTTCAGATTTTCAATACACTCCATTCTGTGTGATTTATAAGCGTTTTGAAAAGTGGGGACATGGAGTAATGTCCTGAAAAGTCACCTTCTCCTTGTATTACCTGCCATACCCATGTTATTATACAAGTTTGTGTCCTCATAAACCACATAAACATGCACACACACACACACACACTGGGCCTCATTCATTTATCTTAAAAATCATCAAAAACTATTTGTGTGTGTGAGTGTGTTAGAGGATTTTTTCGGGAATCCCGCAGGATGGGAAACAAAATCACTATTAATCACGCGATTGGGAC